GGTCTCCTGGCTCCCTTCCTTGACTTCCTAAAGTTTTCCTCCACACAATTCAATCAAATTTAAAAGATGTTTTTATCAGCATATGTCTGCTAGCTATATGATTTTCCTTACTAAAATAAGATTTAATGAGTTACTACCAACGCTAATCTTCTCTTAACTTTTTGGGTTTTTTGGTAGGGGTAGGGAATCAACTCTAGGCAGCAGTTTTAAGTAGTCTACAAGCCATTCAGAGGTTAAATCTCAAGAAATTATTTTGGAATTCAAGACCAGGTTGGATGGGGCTTTGAGCAATCTGGTCCAGAGGGAGGTGTCCCTGCCCACACCAGAGGGTTTGAAACTAGATGATTTTTAAGGTCCCTTCCAACTCAAATCAGTGTATGATTCTGTGATCCTTTGAGTTAACTAGGTCTAATTAGAATCACAGAGAAGCTTAGTCAGAAGTCAGTGTCACTCCATCCCTCTTATCTCTAATGGCAGTGGGGAATGAAAATGAAGGGAGCAAAATTCTTAAGGTGAAATCTCTGAATAAAGTAAAGCTTGGCCCAGAAATGAAGCCCTTCATCCAGTGGGATCATTGGTAAAAGAGTAATTGATCTGAAAACTCACCACTGGCTTCTAATATTATCTTCCAAATACATACTTAAATTATGAGCACAATTTATAAAAATGAAATATTTTGTTCCTTCAATGAATATATATATATATATACATTCTGCTGAGTTGATATACTAGTGAAAACTATGAGATCATGTATTAAATTATCCAGGAGGTAAAACCAAAGGGCAATCTTACCTCTCGGTCTCTCTAAATCACTGACTTATGATATGACCTTGGACATGTAACTAGATGCCCTTTGCCTTAGCCAGTGCACTGGAAAACTGGGTAAAATTCAGGGAGTTCACTCATGAGTGGATAGTGAACTGAGCTTTCTTATCCAAATCATGTAGCAGACAGGGGAAAGTGAAGGGGAACAGCACTCTCAGGTCAAATCTTGCCTTGCTTCCAAAGTGACTGAACTTCCACTAAATCTTTCTTACCTTTATGTCTTGCCAGGTATCGACCAAGGAGAATTATAGAACATAGTGTTACAAAGACAACTACAGCCACTATTCCACCTATAAGAGCGTGGTCAGGTCCGGTCTGTCCAGCCAAAGCATTTGGATCTAGAGGGAGAAGTAAAAAGCAAAAGTGGTTCTACACAGACAAAAACTGACAGGAAAATTCACAATACCAAGTTTTATACTGATCATCCTGAAAATAGGGCATTTCCCTCTTTAATATTCAGCATGGTTATTCCCACTTTTACTACCAGTATCTTATCAAAAACATAGCACTGCTTGTATTCCCAGATTGTTAAAGCCCTGAGGACATCACAGTTACAAAAAATATTACCTTATTCTTATTTGGCAGAGGTTATTAAATGGAAAAGGTTTCTGGTTTTGTCCTCACCATTTTACAAATGAAAACCTGGCCATAGCTATTTATAGAAGGAAAAACAAGGAACTGAGAACTGGGGATCAGATAGCATCAGCAGAATAGTGTCTGCATAATACATAATTTATAGAACTGATTCTCAGTGGGGATCCCTTATATATTCACTTCCTCTCATTCCTATCCTATTGCACCAGAAATAAAAAGACAGATAAAGTGCTGCCATGCCAAGTTCCTCTACACATGGCTGAGTCTGCATGAATTTGGTCAGATAAAGGTATCAAGCAACCTGAAAGATCATAATTCAGTCTCAAGCCTCAGTTTGTGAATTTACTATGAATACTCAATTAACACCCAATGTGAGCAAGCTGTAACAGATACAACAATGTATCAGCAGGTTTATTTTACTAACTCTGTGCAGATCACTAGGAATACCGCTAGATTCAAGCTTTCTGTGCTGGTCATTTGCCTGTTCTGTTGCCTGGTGTGTCACAAAAGTTGCAAAGAGGCAACCATGGGAAATGGCACTACTTAGGGATGAGTAATTCTTTAGAGTTTTTGAACAACGAATTAGCAACTTGTGACTGTTGACTCACTTGAAATATGCAAAAGGTGGTAAAAATTCAATCTAAGGATCATGGTAAGATTTCTATTTTAACGAAAATGCCTCTGCTATGAAATAATAGTAATTCTCTGAAGATGCTATTCACATTTACTGTATGTTGCATCAGTCTACTCTTACTGCTTCAAGGGCATTTCCCTTGCAGGAGATGTTTATACTCTAAAATAGTGTGCAAACAACTTTGCTTTTCAAAAGGGAAAGCCAGGAAAAATATTTACACAGTAAAGATGATAGAAAGGCCTCTGATAATGCCGAGGAGGCCTAATTTCATGATACCATAATTACATTCTCCTCACCAGGATCATTATATTACAGTAAGGTGTATATATATAAATATATATATATATATATGTAGATAGATAGATATGTGTATCTACATACACAGAAGTGTACATAAATATAACATTATATAAATGAAATAAATGATTAATGTTTTCTCCTCCTTTTGTAACCTGCCAGGCATACTGAAACTACACTTTCAGGTTTGCTGGAGCACAAAGTGTTATGGCCACTGTTACAGATACAGTTCTGCTCCTAACAGCCAGTGAACCCATCAGGCATGGTTTTGTCACTTACTGATGGTTTTCTGAGTTCCCACATCTTTCTCTTCTGGCTGCTAAGAGGATTTTGGGGAAGCTGGCCATGGCACTTCCATGGACATGATCGCAAATTTTAGGTATTGGTCTCAAAAAAGCTAGAAATACTTTATAAAGTCAGATGTGCCTGCCCACTCCTTTGTCTCCATGTACCTACTAGGCATGGCACTACTGCTGGCAGCACTATGCTGAGTATGCAGAATCAGTCCAAAGGGACATCAGCTCTATTTGGTGATTAAAAATTACCCCGAGTTCTGTGTGCCAGCAGCCTTGCAGGGAAAAGCAAGACAGCTGAAGTCTTGCCTCTTCAAAGCAAGAGCTTGAAGCTCACAGCCATACTTTCTTATGTCTTGCAGAGGCTCTGTTTTCCAAAGGCAGTAAGGAGGAGGTGACTGCTCACTTGAGTAAAAGGAATGTGACAGCTTTCTGCAGGATTGTCAGCCTCCTTGAGCCATCTAGCAAATCCCTCCTTCTGTGATGCCTGTAGCAAAGTTGCCATGAACCTCCTCCTTGCAGCAAAGAGGCAGCACCCCCTTGGGCACTAAGGAGCAGCCATGTTCCTCAGTGCTGCGTGTCACCTGCAGAAGATGGTCGTCCCCAGCACTGGGGCAGGAACAGCATGAACATGTTCTCCCACTACAGGCTAACTCCTGCTAGTATACTAGCAGTAAAATTAAAGAATGACAGGAGATAGTTTAAGTGATAATATACTTTGTGATGCAGAGTATAATCCAGAGAAGCGTTAGCACACCACTTGATCTACAGGCATTCTTTGAAAAGCTGATTGCAGTGTACAGCCTTAGCTCAATACCTAGATTTACAATGTATCTCCTCTGTGAGCTTTAATAAAGATTATAGATAAAAATCCTCACAATACACTGAGATGAATATGCCTCTGTGTTTATCCTCAGGTGAATTCCTATATACAGCTACTCACTCCTCCTCTGACATACCTGATGTGACTACATGAAGTGACCTACAGCCAGCATAAATATAAGATTCCCATCTATTTGCATGGATTAATAAGATTCTACTGCTATAATAGGTTTAAATTTTTAACTTTAAAATTAATTTAGGTAGTCATTGGAATGCACAGGTAGCATTGTATTTCTGCTATAATCTCTTAACCTTGGTATCAAGACTATATTGATAAGTATTTCTAGAACAGTTTGTCCATGAAAAACTTGTACATGACCTAGTGCCAGTATATTACCACTGAACAATTTATTTGTTAAAAAGAAAAAGTGAAGGAAGGAGAGGAAGGAATAGATGGAAGGCAGGAAAAAATAAAGATCCTCCAAAGTGGTCAACATTTTCTTGAGAAACAAGCATTCTTTCATCTCAAAATGAATATTTGTACAACATAAGAAACATTCTGAACAGAAAGTACACCTCATAGAAACATTCTCCTCATAGAAAAATAATGTTAGCATTAAATATAAATATGCACTACATTATGCATACAGAGTAATGCACTCTACTTTGGCCTCTCGTGAAATGACCTAAGCCCCATGAGTGAATTATAGATCTAGGGGTACCTTTCATCTTATAAATAATTACTATATCAAAATGTGCCTGTTAACAGTATCTCAAAGATAGAAATACAGGGGTTTGTAAACTATGTCATTTTGTATTTTACGTATTTATACAGCAAATATGTATAATTATCCAAACGTTCTGGGCACTTGTATTACCAACTCCCATTAAAGTTCCTGAAAGTACTAAGTCTGTATTTATGTGCTGACCACTCCACAGTTTGATTTCCAAAAAAACAGAACGGTATTCTGATTATTTTTAGATTCCCATTATAAGCTTCATGGGTTTTTCCAGGTAAATCCTACCCTGCCACACACATAACTGCAGCAAATGAAATCTTAAGTATGCAACTATGCAAGAAATACTTATAATCCAGCTCTTTCAATAAAAAAATAGATCACTCTGTTCCTATTTTAAATATAGACTGTTTTTTACTGCATGAACAGCTACCGCAGTCATAGCCTGAAACAGTGAAATCGGAATTTTGTAAACAGACTACATCTTCTTCAAAGATCAGTTCTTTCTCTGTTGATTTCATCCTTTGATGAGACTAAGGAAATCTTACACCAAGATAATGACACAAAAGCTGATAATTCTATTTTTGTTTGCTTTTGTCCTAAATTTAGGAAGCCTCTTCAAAATACTACTTGATGATGCTGTGAAGTTGCACCCATTTTCAACTTTTGGGATTTGCCCATTACTGTTTGTTCACAAACCTATAGAAATAACACACTTAAAATGACTACAAGGAAAAACTGTATCATTCATGAAGAAATTAATCACATCAGATAAATTTTAGACCTATTAAGTAAGTAGAGATTAGCTTTTTATGACCTGATGACAAAGTTTCAGCATAGAATAATTTTAGATGAACTCACACATCAGTTAAGCAGAGAAATTTTGGAACAGTTTTTCATGCTTTTGTATAAAGGATATGTTAATTATTCATCTAATTTCATTTTCTTCCTGCATAAGTTTCCTTCTTATTTATGCATAGTTGACATGACTGAGCAGGCTGCAGGAAAGGGTCAGATAACCCTTTCCTGAGCAAAGGAAGAACAAACACATTTGTGAATGCTGGATCGGCATCTTCTGGGGAATATATGCTCGAGTAGCCTCCTTTATTGCAGAACTTTATTAATGTGCATTTTTGGCTCAGATGCTGAAGTTTCAAAAAAATCACTCTAAGAATGAGATGTACCCAGGTTAAAGGCATCCAAAGTAATAATTTGTTTTGACCATTTCTACTAAAAGAAAAATTGAAAATAAAGGTCCTAATTTCCTGTGAAGCATAAACAGCATTCACAAAATTAAGACATATTAAGATGATGTATTATTCATAAATTACTGCTCCTTAAGGCTGGGAAAAGAACAGAGATGTCCCATTTCTCAGAAAAGTACTGAAACCACCAGTCTACAGTTGCTTTTACCAATTTCATGAATAATCAGTTGCCAAGGCCCATATTCAGGGACCTGTTATCACACACAAACTGCAAAAATTATGGGAAGCGAGTAGTTTAGGGTTTTGCTAAGTCCACCAGTGAATGCAAGTTAAATTAGAAATATTACCCATTGAAATTTCCCCACATTTCAGCTTAATTTCCTAAGGAGAGATAGCTTGTGTGATCATGCTCTTTCACTCTGTCCAAATGACTTAAGAACCTGGGTCCATTACAACAAGATAGTAAAGATGTCAAGATTATTGTTCTCCTATAGCTAACCTGAGAGGACAGCTGCAGGAGTTCAGTTCTTATTAGATATCAGAGAACTAATTATAGAAAGATGCTTTTAGAAAAACTCTAACAGAGACAAAAGCGTCAGTCAAAATCTGTGCCCAAGAATCAATTTTTCATTAGGAGTTTCTCTCCATTGTGAGTATTTTGATGTCCAATATGGCACAGATCTTGTTTAAAGCTTTTCACGTGGCATTTATAACATCTGAGCCCTTCCTATCTCACCTTTTTGCTCTTCTGCCCCT